ATGACCGCCAGGTCAAGGTGGACGCACCTGTAGTGAAGAGCATGACATTTCAGTTGAAGACTAAGGAGGCGAGGGTAGTACCTGATGTAGTTGTGGGTATGTCTCCTTATCTTATTTATTATTATTTTCTTTGTTTATGCTTATGTTTCTTCTGATAATGTATAGGGACTTTCTTAGTCAATGACTGCTCATGTTCTGTTTGATTCGGGTGCTACCCGATCTTTTTGTATCTCTTGCACTTAGCAAGAAGTTTAGTGATGCTCCTAGGATTTTGAATTATCCATAGAAGGTAGAGATTTCTGATGACCGCTCAGTGAGTGCTCCGAGGGTTCATCGAGGGTGTGTCCTGAATCTGCTCAGCGAGAGATATTTAATTGATTTGGTTTTGATTTTGTTGCAAGGGTCGAAGGTTATTATAAGGATGAATTGGTTGGGTCATAATGGATCCATCATTGATTATGAGAACCAGCTAGTGAGATTTTGAAACCCAAGTGGGGTAGAACTAATTATTCAGGGTGAGGGTGCTCAGAACGGACCGACTCTCTATTCAGCCGTGAGGGCTAAGAGATATATTGAACATGGTTGTTCTGGATTTTTGGCCTATGTGGCTGGTTCTCGATTTAGGGGCATGGCGACTGTGAGTGATGTGCGCATTGTTAGGGATTTTCCTAACGTATTTCCTGATGATTTTCCTGGAGTCCCCCCCAAGAGGAAGGTTGAGTTTCGTATTAATTTAGTTTCTGGTGCGGCCCCGATAGCCAAAGCACAATATCGATTAGCACCGCCGGAGATGTAGGAGTTGTCTACACATTTTCAGGAGCTGCTAGAAAAGGGGTTTATCAGACCGAGTAGTTTATCATGGAGAGCACCGATCCTGTTCGTGAAAACAAATAACAGTTCTCACAGGTTGTGCATTTACTACCAGGAGTTGCCAAGATTGAGGCCGTGATGAGGTGGTAGGTTCCTAAGATCCCATCAGAGATTTGGATTTTTGTAGGTCTCACGGGTTACTCTCTGAAATTTATCCAAAATTTCTCCAAGATTGTTTTGCTTTTTACCCGCTTAACGAAGAAGAATGTTACTTTTCGGTGGGGGCCCGATCAAAAGTCAGCTTTTGAGATGTTGAGATAGAGATTATGCGAGGCCCCAATTATCACTCTTCTCGACGGGCATGGATGATTTTGTAGTTTATTGTGATGCGTCTATCTCAGGTTTGGAAGCTATCCTCATGCACATAGGACATGTGATTTCTTATGCTCCAAGGCAGATGAAGCCTCATGAGTCGAATTACCCTATACACGATTTAGAATTGGGGACTGTAGTTTTTGCTCTCAAGATTTTTAGGCACTATTTGTATCGGGTTAGGTATACTATCTACACTAGCCAGAAGAGCCTAAGATACCTCATGGATCAGCCAAACTTGAACATGAGGCAACAGAGATGGTTGGACATGGTGAATGATTATGATTGTGAGATCCTATACCACCCCAGAAAGGCTAATGTTGCAATCAACGCCTTGAGCCGCAAGGTAGTGAGTGCACATATGGGATATATTTGTGTAAGGATTGTTATTGTTTCATCTCTTTTAGACATGTTCAAGAAGGCTCAGTGGATGGATTAAAGAAGGAAATAGGAAGGTGGAGCTAATCAGGGGTCAGATTCCTTTGTTCATCCGAGATGGTCGGAGTTTTTGACCCAGTGTGAGAGCTTTTGGGTCCTGACTATTAGTGGGGTTCGGCAGACAGTGATAGAAGAGGCTCATTAGTTGATGTTTTCGATCCATCCAGGGGCCACAAAGATGTATAGGGATCGGAAGTTGAGCTATTGTTGGCCCTGTATGAAAAGGGATCTTTGAAAATGGAGATAGCATGGTTTGTGTAACGGTGCTTGACTTACTGGAAAGTCAAGGCCGAACATCAGAGACCCCACGATAAGATGCATTTTTTTCCCATTCCCATATGGAAATGGGAGGAGATCACCATGGATTTTATCATAAAGTTTCCAAGGACGAAACATGGGGTGGATTCTATCTGGGTCATTGTTGATAGGCTGAACAAGAGTGCTCATTTTATTCCGATTTCCGAGAGTATATCAGCCAAGAAGCTGGCCGGCATTTACATTCGGGAGGTGGTGGTTCGACATAGAGTTCCTATTTCGATGGTTTCAGATCGAGACGTTCGTTTTACCTCAAGGTTTTGGAGGATGTTTCATGATGATTTGGGTACTCAGCTGTATTTTAGTGCAGCATACCTTCCCAGACCGATGGAAAGAGTGAGTGGACAATTTAGACGCTATGCTCAGGGTGTATGTGCTATATTTTGGCAGGATTTGGGATACTTATCTTCCATCGGTCGATTTCTCCTACAACAACAATTATCATGCCAGTATTAATCGACCACCTTTCGAGATGTTGTACGGTAGGAGGTGTAGGACCCAATTTTTTGGGGTGAGGTAGGGCATCGAGTCATGAGGAGTACTGAATTGGTGCTCAAGACCACTGAGTTAATACAACAGGTGCATGACAGGATGCAAATCATGCAAAGTCGACAGAAGAGCCATGCTGACCAACGTCGTTTGGATCTCGAGTTTCAGGTGGGGGATTTGGTGCTTCCGAAGGTGTCACCATAGAAGGGTATCATCCGATTTTCGAAGCGGGGGAAGCTAGGTCCCCGTTTTATTAATCCTTTAAGGATTATCACCCAGGTAGGCAAGGTTGCATACCGATTGGAGTTGCCCGATGAACTCAGTCAGATACACAACACTTTCCATGTATCTCAAGTACGAAAAGGGTTTAGCAGATGATTCTGCAGTGCTTCCCTTAGATGACATTCAGGTCGATGAGCGCCTGAATTATGTAAACGGACAAAGACTATGCGCAACAAAGTGGTGAACATGGTATAGGTGTAGTGATAGCACCGAAGGGATTATGAGTGGACATGGGAGCCGAAGGGAAAGATGCATGAGCATTACCCCAATTTATTTGCGGAGACGAACTTTGAGGACGAATTCTGATTCTAGTCGGGGAGATTTGTAACACCCGAATCCCGAGGTACTTTATATTTTTCAATTTTAGCATTTTAAGTGTTGAAACCCATTTTAACGATCGGTGGATGCGGAATAAATAATATCTTGAGATTTAACGAACATAAAATGAAGAACATATGATGAGAAATTCCATAGAACTAGAAAAGAGATAAAATATTACAATACAATAACATGGGTAGGAGAGAAAGCTCTCCCTTGGTGGGAGAGATCCCGCCACTTTCTCTCTCTCTCTAGAAAAGCTATATTGAGTACACTCTTGCTATTACAATGACCATTTCTCTCTTTATATAGGAGAGAGAAAATACCAATAATACAATAAAGGGAAATAAAATAACCTAACTATCACTCCTTATTTGTAGAGCATTTTCATACTCCAATAATCTCTCCCTAAATGCTCGCAAATGACGAGGGATACAATAAGTGATAAAAGGCTAAAATACAGTAATCCAATTAGCAAGTGTGGTAATAAAATGAAATAAAATGAGAACTAAATGCGGAAATGTCTCTGAAACTCTGAAGTGTTTGTGATGTCTGAAACTGGCCATGAATCTCTAAACAGTGAAGGTCTTCGGCTTCAAAGCACCACCAATAAAGCTGAAAAATAAGATCTAAATCTTCAAGCTAGTCATAAGCACCATGAGCAAGTATAAGATCTAATAAAAGAAACACTTCAACTTCAAGAAGTTTGAAAAACATCTCTAGTTATCGAATCATAATACACCCAAAATTCTTCAAAGAATAATCTGCTAAAAACGTGAAGCATCCAAAAAATGAAGTCCGGATAATAAATAATGTGAGTCCAAAGACATGGTCTAGTAATGCCGAAAATTTGATCGAAAGATAAAAAATAAGTGTCACGTCACATCGCTAAAATAATCTTCGTGTTCAAAATATCGCAAATCCAACCTTGAGAAGTCATAATATTTGAATCGGATGCAAACACAAAAAATCATCCTGTAGTGGAGTCTGAATAATAAATAATCTGGAACCGGGAACCATCTAGTGAAGCCAAAAATTTGATTCGTGAAGACCAAAAATTAGTGCCACATCGCATCACAGAATAAATCATTGTCTTCAGAAGTCTTCAAAAATCCAAACTCAAACAATCATAAAAACCATATCCGGATGATATCATGATATTCTCTGCCTATTTATGATAACCAAAGACCAGATATCAAAAATAAATATATCATCGGGATGGAGAGTGTCGGATACCAAGGGCTAAGAAGGCTCTCCCTAGATGTATGAAGGGTCTCGATAAGACACGAGAATGAGAGTAAAATAAATACTCTACGGTCATATGTAGCTGGCGGATTCGGTCGCTGAAAACTGCTCGAACAAATACCATAGAAAGAATAATAACTCTGCGTGAGAAAATCTCTGTTGTGCTGAAAGAATACCAATATACCCAAAACTGCGGTGCCGGAACTCTCGAAGTGGTATTCAATAGAAAATAAAGTTTACATGCTCAAGATACATGATTCGTCAACCGTAGATCAAGAACGACAAGTCATAAAAATCCCATAAAGTGAAGAATGCGAAACAACTTTGTTAATCAAGCGTCGTTGTGGTGCAAACATCACAAAGAATAATATGAAGTCTGACTGCGGTATGGAGTAATTCTCATGGAAAGAATAAAATTCTTCCAATATAATCGGCATGAAGTAAACCAATGTGACTATCAAAGGTTGGGTTGTGGCAAAAATTGATATTAAAAAAAAATAATTGGTTTTAAAGAAAAATAATAAATGGTGTTAATAAAAAATAATTGGTGTAAAAAAATAATCGTAAATATTATTAAAAGAGAACCTTTAGTTCCATACTTCAGAAATCAGGACCATTCATTGTATTTCAATCCTATACTCTTGACCATTAGATTAGTTGATGATGTCATCATTTGAAAGCGGCCCCTTAATGATACTCATAAAATCAGAGAAACCTTAACCCTGATTAGCCTCTATTGTTGACACGGGCCATGCTTTCTCTGCCGACGAATAGCTTCCTAAGTTCGCTGGTTACTTCCAGCAAGTTAAAATATTTTTTTTTCCCTTCGCAAAGTTGTGGTTTGAATTCCCGATACTAATCTTGCCCCCGAAGACTTCTCTTCCCCTCTCTCTACAAGAACCCTAATCTTCTGTTTAGCTTAGCCGCATCCTTATATTATAATCAAGAATGAAGATCAAGGCTAGATTTAGGTAAATTGAAGCACAAATGAAATATGGAGGGTGGATCTGGAAAAATAGTAAGTAAAAATCTTTTTTATATAGTCGCACCCCTATGCCCTCTCTATGAACATCCACCGTCGATACCACTGCCATTAGCCATCTATAACCCCTCACCATCTCCTTCATCTTCCGACTCTCACGCTCTCATCAACTCTCGCAATCTGCTAAAACTGTTCGGATTTAAAGATTTTGCCTATCACATTCGCCTTTTTTCTTCTTCTTCTTGACGACCCATTCAAATTTTCACATATTTTGTATGTGGCTTGGTTGCAGGTTGATTGTTGATTGTTTCAGTTGGTTTTCCCCTTCCCATTTCACGTGTTCGTCATCTTGCAATCTCAAGTCTTTTACCAATTTATGTTTTTCAGCCCTAAATCGACTTATGGTCTCTGTTTCATTTTGATTTGTAGGTTTTTAAACCCAAGGCCAACGCTTTCAGACTTCCTCTTAGAAAGGTATTGATCAACGGTATGGTTCTTATGGTGTTTGATTTTACGTTTCCTTTTCCCTAAAAGCCCTTAAAACCATAATGCTCTTGTGCTGAAACTGTTGTGTGTGATCTGTACTTCATCTAACTGTATTTTCGATTCTTTATGTTTCCTATCCTATTTACCTTTTTAATTAGGTATTTTTTCATTACTTTCTTCTATTGGATTCCTGTATTGGTGATGTATCGGCCAATGTTAGATATTCTGATAGATTCTTCTATTGGTGATGTATTGACCAAGTTTCTCGATGGATTGATGGTGATTTTAGATATTCTGATGAAAATTGAAGATCCCAATTCACATTTTCCAGGCCCTTTAACTTCATCATTTGAGACAGAGAGTACTGGGAGAGGAATTGTTCCAAGGTTTTCAGTTGATCATGAAGTTAACTCAAAGATTTGTCTGTGGAGAGGAAGCCCTTGGAATATGGAGGCTGATGTTATCATTATGAATTTTTCCAAATTAGCTGTTTCATCTAACTGTGCATTATCGACTTCTTTTACAGAACATGGATGAAGCACACTGTTGCCTTGATCTTGCTGAAGAATGTTCAACACTGGTAACTTTCCTTTCTACTTACACAGTTTAATTAAATGGAATGGAAATGTGTTTTGTATAACAACTGTTTGTATAATTTGTTATCATTGAATGATCAAATTAATCAAGTTCTTGGTTTAGCTACATCTTTGCCTATATTACTATCAAGAAGACGTCAAAAATACCAAAATAATCTGATGTAGATGTAAACTTTGAGTTTCATACATATGATATACAAGAGCCACCCTTGGATTACTTCATCCTACATGTTGCTTTGTCAGATCCACCAGTTTCTCTGGCCCCAATGGTTATAATAAAATATTGCATTAACTAATTCTTTATTTTTTTTTGTTTAATTAAATTTACACATTTGACCTTGGCAGGTTAATCTGGATTTCTCTACAGAAGCATATATGATAAGAAAGTCTCGTGCTTGTCTTACGTTGCAACTTGTGAGTAGAGCATGCATGCTTTGTATTTTTCACTTATCTCTATGAATTTATTATATATTTTATATTATGAATGTGAGTTGGATTGCAATTGCCCTGTTTGTAAATTCACCATTTATAGAAGGAGAGTTTCATGGTTATCTCATCATGAGGATGTTGTTTCTTTTTTAGCTTCTGTTACTACTATTTATCTCAAATAAATATATGGTAAAAAAGAAAGATATATACTGACAGTGGTATTGGAATCAAGCCAGTCAATACTAACAACCTCACTCCCACAATCCCACTCAATGCATATACAGATCAGATAGTTTCTTTTTGCATTTTCATAAGAATAGTGCTCATATGTAACAAAATGTTTAAAAATAACTCATTTTATAAAGTTTATATATTTGTTATCTTGAAGTTGATTTCTTGACTATGTCTATTAGACCACAATTATACATGTTAGTTATTATTAGTAAAATTTATTGGATAACCAAAAAACTATGCAAGCGTAGGTCTCCCACTTGTCAAAGAATCTGTGTTGTGTTTTGCCATATTGTCACTGAACACATATTCATACGGCTTGATTGTTATCATTATGGTTATTATTATAATTACAATTACTATCATTTATTACTGTTATATGATTATGAATATAATTATTATATTATTATTACCTTTTTGCAGGAAGAATGCATCGAAGTGGGGATAGGCTTCACAATTATCATTATGGTTATTGTTATAATTACTATTACTATCTGCTACTACTGAGATATCATAGCTTGAGAGTATGTTGAAACAAAAGACTTCTACTAGGTTAGTTTTTTGTTTATGAGCATTATCCATCTTTCTGTCTGTGAACACTTTTGCTATTGTTGATATGATATACTATTTCAGATCTGAAATCGAGCATCTGACAGCTTTGATGCATGAAAAGCTACCAACTCGTATGGTTGTTGTACTTTATGAACATCAGGTTTCTTTTCGTCTTTTTGGTTGGTTTAATAGCAACCTACTTCCAGTAAATGATATACATGTTTTTTGTTGTTTTAAAACCACTAGAAATGATATTAGGGCTACATGTATTTTTTTTTAACACGGTTCATAATAATACATGAGCACATGTTCTTACAAAAATAGCAACATACTTACGACAAAATGCAAAATAACAATTTATTTTTATTATTATCATTAATTCTTGTTCATTTTTTGAAGTTTTTTTATAGGTTATACTCAAGAGTTGATAACTTTTTTTAAATAGACATCTTACTGAAAATGAAGTTTTGTTTGACACATAATAGCATCATACTTATGGCTCTTTACCAATAAAAACAATGTAGGAAAACATTACGAAATGGTCCTTGTACAGAAAAAAGATTATATAATTGGTCATGTGGCAGAAAAATATTACGTAACTAGACCTATGACAGAAAAACATTACAATAAAGGTCCATGTAACAGGAAATAATTACATTATTGGTTACCAATAGTGGGAAATTTTTTTCTATTTTTTGTAAAAAAAATCAAATATGTTGTTATAACTGTAATTAGGTAGATTTGTCATAAATGCTATAATTGGAACAAATGAGAGTAGTATGTTATTATCTTGGATTGAAATTGGTTACCACTCTTTTGCCATATTTCTCACCTATACAATTATTTAATGCATAATAATTGTTACTTCTTCTTTACAAAGTTTCATATTTTCCAATTGACACTGATGCATGTTTACTTTTGAAAGCGATGATCTAGGACATAATGATAGTGGAGACTGGAGAATTCCAAAGTACATTGCTATTTTCTTTATGTGTCTTTTGTTTGTGTTGTGTGATCTATATTTTTATTTGTGCCAGCTGATGTGTTCCTCTATGTTGCAGCACACTGGAATACAGTGGATACTTCATGTTTTGATCGGTTCACGAACTTCCTATTTTTTTTTATTGTGACAACTTTTTTATATTTTTATATGTATTTTCTATTGAATTTAGTTGATTTTTGAATAACAATGATAAATGACTATTTTGACCCTATATGTTCACGTGCAGATCCATCAAAGTTTAGGCTTACGATGGAATTATCTTTTGTGAAGCATCACACTGGTTTTTTTACCGGTACTCCAACGATATTTTACCTTGTACGGGAGTTATATATAACAAACTGAAATAGTTTTATAATTATTATATCTGTAATTTATGTGCAAACTAATCACTAATAGCTTATTAAATTAAAAAAAAGATGCACAAACTATACAATTTCGTTTGTTGGTTTGTAATAAAACTATGGGTATGATAGTTATGATGACTCACATTCAAATCCCCTTTTTGCCCTTGTATCTAAATGTGAAGTTTCTACGTAACGAATGTTAATGATCAAATAAATTGTTTTTACTTATTCATATTTGTTTACTTGATTGTTGTACGTTTTAAGTTTATGTGTCTTAAGTTTATTTACAACAAGATATGTTATTTTCTTTTTATATGATATTATTTGATGTCAGATGCAGTTTTTGCATATGTGGTTTGTTTTTTCATGGTATTATACTCCTGACAGAAAATAAAATAAAAAGTGACCTGTGGTGGCATTGTTAAAGGTAGAATTCTCCATGTGTTCCAATCATGTTACTTCGTAATACCGACCAAACCAAAGGACTATGTAATGGTATTAGATTACAGATTCTTCAATGAGACTACTTATTCCATTCTATTTTCAGCGAAAGCAAATTCCCTGTAGCTGTTTGTTTCGCTATGACCAATAACAAAAGTCAAGGATAGTCATTATCAAATGTTGGATTATACTTGTATAAACCTGTTTTCATTCATGGTCAGTTTTGTGTAGTTGTTTCCCTGTCACAAGTAAAAAATATTTGAAGGTACTCATATGTGACGAAGAAGGTCGTTCAACTAATAAAACAAAAAATGTTGTCTAAATAGAGGTCCTTCAACGATTATAGATATTTACCAATTTCATTATATTTTCTAGATATGTCGGTATTACCAATAACAGTAAAAAAAATTATGCAACATTTGTATACCTTTATATGTATTTTTTTATGTGTTCCCCGCGTTTTACGCGGGTTATAATCTAGTTGTTTTTAAAATAAAAGAATGAATTGGTGTTAATAAAAAATGGGTGTTAATTAAAAAAATGGGCTGAAAAAATGGACTGTTGTGGTTAAAAAAGGCAAAAAAAAAGTGGCGAAGTTGGGGGGTTAAAAGTGTAACTGTAGTTAAAAGGGGTCTCACTGCAGTGGGGACCGAAGTGTAGGGGTTAAAAGGTGAAGTTTTCGGTGAAGGAGGGTTGTCTGCGGTATGAACCGAAGTGCATGGGCCATGGATGAAACTTCAGAGTGATTTTGTCCACTGCGGTTACAACTTCGGTGTTTATTTATTTATTATTATTTTTTTTTGGTCAGCGGTCGTGAGGGGTCTAAAGGTAAACTTTCAAGATGTGGGACCCCAACGTTTTTTTTTTTAATAAACTGCGGTGGAGAGCGGGGGTTTTCTGGAGTATGGACTGAAGTGCAAGGGTTGAAATGTGACTGCAGTGCGGTTTTTATATGATGGGTTATGTCATGAGAGGTTTTGTCTAACGGAAAGGTGGGACCGAGGTTTGGGCTGATCTGCGGTATTGGGTTTTAAATTGGGATAAGACAAAATAAATTGAAGGAAAGGAAAAAAAAGAAAAAAAATGATGTGGGTCGTCGAGTGGTTGGATGACAAAATATGGGATAGGACAAAAGGTAAAGTAAGGCTGATGGGAGTGGAGGTGTTAAGGAGCTCGTTAGCACTCACTAAGAAGAAAGAACACCGCCCCTAGCTAAGCTCGTCAATGGCATAACGAGAGGAGAGAGAACATTGATTGAATCTTATTGGCTATCGGCTTTTCTTTAAAATCATAACCAATCAATCACGTTCAATTCTTTTTTATTGCATTTGATAGAAGTTACAAAATCACACCTTTATCTTTTCTTAATAATTCAATTTTTGATGGAAGTTTCTAAATCACACCCTTATCTCTTCTTAATAGTTCACTTTTTGTTTGAAATATATAGATAAAATTTATGTTTTGTTATAAAAAATTAAAACATTAAGAACTTGTTAAAATGTCAAATAAATGTTTGTGTAATATTATGTCATATTATTTAAATTAAAAAAATGTTTGTGTAGTATTAAAAAAATGTTTGTTTATTAAAATAAAGTAATTAAATTAAATTAGAAAAAGAAAATAAAAAACTTGAGTGCTAGGAATGTTACCACTCCCTACGAAATGTTAAGATATGGTGCTAAATGGAGAGAAGTGAAGTGACACTTAAAAAGCTGACGTAAAAAAGTGCTAAGAGTGTTAACACTCCTATTAGCCTAATAAAAAAAGAAGTATAGGTTGATGGATGATGGAACCATGCAAAGAAACAAGAATGATACATTTAAAGGCATGAATTCAATTCCAAATACAGGAACGAGTTGATTGAATGATATATGTCATTTACTAAACTTAGCCATTTTTAATATATTATATTAAATTTGTCTCATAAAGTAATATATTATTTTAAATTTGTCATCGTGGTTATGCATTCATGAAATGTTACTCTTCGATTTACATTAAATATCCTTACATTTATATTTGATTTTAAAATCAAACCTTATACTTTTTAAAACTTTAGTTTATATATATATATATATATATATATATATATATATATATATATATATATATATATATATAGAGAGAGAGAGAGAGAGAGAGAGAAAAAGAGCTAGGTTCAAATGTTTTTAGCAAGTATTGTGTGCATGTATGCACCAATGAGAATTCAAGAAAAAAAATAAATCATTAATGTAAAAAAAAGGGTAGATGAGTCATTTTGTTTTTATAAACTAAAAATAAATTCTTATATATTTGGTATATCCCTTAAATCACGTCTACTATTATTTGACTTATTTCAAACCTCATATCCACAACCCTAAATGCACAAAGAGAGGACGCGTCTTCTTCAACAGATCGGGAATAAGGTACGATCGAATGGGAGCAGTCAAAAATCAAGGGCACTAGTGAGGGTCAAACAGATTCGCAAGGAGGGCTGAGAAAGGGACTTCGGTCCTCATCGTCGTCTTCATCAGATCGAGAAGGCATCAGGCGATTGAGGGAAGTCGAATGGTGGTCTGGTGGTTCAGAAATCGTGATGGGAGGGAGGCGGCTGCAAATTGAGGGCGGACTGTTGATCCTCGGCCATCCATCGTGGGTTCCCATCTCGTTGTCGGCGAAATCAGTTGGAAGAGAGAAGTAAGGCAGATCATTTGGACAATACTAAGATAACACCACAACTGTCGGACATAGAGAAGGAGTTCCCTTTCAAATCGTAGCCCTGGTATGTTTCTTTACTTTAATTTCTGATTTTACAAAGGAATTTTGTTTGAGAAAAACATGTTATTTGATTTGAGTTCAAAAGCGTAGGAAAATAATAAGAGAAAAAAATCATGCTTCTAAGTGAAAAGTACTAGAAAGGATATTAATTAACAGAAAATTAAACAATGATCCATCAAGCGGCACTTTTGTCTGTTATTTGGAATTCCAACCTTCAACGTTTTCCAAATATTAGAATATTTTGTTTACTTTATTATATTTGTTAATGTGAATCGCATGAAATCAAGATTTTAAATCAATTGTGTGTTATCTTAGTATTGTCGAATATTGGTAACATCCGTTTATCATATTATTGCATAAAAAGAAGCTTTTAATTTATGCTTAATTATCTCTCGCATTTTCCGTATCCAATTATATGAAATAATGGCTGCTATCTAGCTTTTTACTTGTTGAATTTGATGTGCCAATGGAGAGCCTTTTTGATGTACCATTTTCATATATTATTATCATTTGGAATTCTTGGGTTTTAGTCTTTAGACGTTGTCATCAATGATTTCATATAGATTTGCTATACATTTCATTTTTTTTAGATTATGTTATTCAATCTCTTTATTCATCAATGTATTCTAAATGTTATAAAAAAAATTAAATACAAAATATAGTATATTCTAAAGAGTACAAAGTTATTTCTTTTAATGTTAATCTATGTTATATTGTTTCATAAGTATATGTATTTCTTGAGATTTTGCATAATTTTTCTGCCCTCTAAATGATCGATGAAATGCCTATAAGACCCCATCTTTTTTCATTGTAGTTTCAGGATTATATTCTATTAGAATAAATTACAATTCTTTAATGTGTACTATATTCTGTTAGAATTTATAGTTTTTATTATTTTAGAATGCACTGAACTTGTTAATATTTGAAAGTTGATTATGTTTTTTTGTGGATTTAGGTTTTGAAGATGCTGTCATTTACGTGGAAAAGGAAGAAAACACGGAGAACGAGAGTGTAGTCTACCAGAATTTATTCTGCCACAATGTATAAAATGTTTCTTAATAATAATATTCTTTTAGAATGGAATAGTGTTTTTGTTAGATTTTGATGTTTTCTTCTTTTTTAACCATTCTTAGTTTTAATCTTTTAGAATAAATGTAATTCTTAAATCATTATTAGAATGAATGTAATAATTGTTTATAGTTTTATTCTTTACGAACTAATGTAATTAGTAATTCTTAAAGAATAAAATCCTTAGTTTTTAAAAAATGTTATTCTTGATAATACGTTGTGTAATTCTTTAAGCATGTTAATTATAAAAATATCTTAAATGGAACCATATTCTGCAAGAATAAAATCGAAAATATTTACTAGTTTATAGCTGACTTTTTGTCATTCTATCAGAATAAAATAAGTTATTATTAAAAAAATATTAGAATTAAATTTGAATTAATTTAAAAAGTTCAAAATTTTAAAAATAAAGGAATTAATTATCCCTAAAAATCCGAAAATTTCCTTTTTTAAATATAGTTAATTGTCCAAAATATCCTTTTGTTGAATTTTGTATGATTATATGGTACATGCTATCCTATTGGATTATCATAGACCCTCAGATCATGACCATTGATTTATTTCATCCGGTGGTCCAGATTTGTGCATTCTGGCACACAATAGTTAGTAAAAACCAAATAACCTAACCCTATATATATATATATATATATAATATATATATATATATATATATATATATATATATATATATATATATATATATATATATTATCCGTCACACCCCCGAACCAGACGGCGGAAACGTCCGAGGGCTCGCGTGATTTAAATTGAATATCATCACAATGATTATACATGAAACACAACATAAACTTCACCATGCATTAATACATAACGATTGACATTGTTCACATCCAGTACATTGTTTAAATATTACATATCCATAGCATCAATTGTTTGAGAGTTTTCAAAACATAACATCCTAACATACTTGATATTACCCTGCAGCTTACCTGTTACCTGAGAATACAAGTTATTTTGAAAAAACGTCAACATATGAAATGTTGGTGAGTTCATAAGCAGGGTTGTGATAAAAAAAATGATTTGTGTAGTTTATAAAACCCAGAAAATCCGATATTTTCTGAAAAGACAATTGTTTACCAAAGTGTGAAGATCCATAAGTT